CAGTAAAGTTGAAGGCTAAAACAAGAGCTGGTAAACATGCACGCCGCTGGAGGAGTTAAAATTGTAGCTACATCCTAAAAGCATTTATAGTGAAAGACACAGTCACAGAGTTGCTGAAAGTACTATACCTATTGAAGTGATATTTAACCATTCCCCTGGCTCCACATGCAAAATTTCTCATTCATTTTGTCAAATGAGTCTAATTTGGTCAACCATGCCCTTGGTTTATCAAGGCATGCAATGGCAGATACCTTAAATATTTCCCCTTTTGTAGAGCTTTCAAGAAACCAAAATTGGAATGTATCTGTATTAAAAGTTGGGCAAATGCTGATATCCAATATTGATGTTGCTGATATGGCCGATAACCAATATTTAATGATATTTTTACACAACCCTTTTGGAAAAGATGAAAACAAATAACTTCTAGTGCTGATATTGCTCTTCTATGTCAGTGACAACCCACACAATTCTGTCTTTAATTGCCGCCTCTGTCACATGGTCATATACCACATGACAAATTTATCATAACAATAAGTTGCGTAAAAAAAATTTTTCCTTCATGATAAATCCTATATCGGTATACCAGCCTCTTCACACTTTTTTTTTTTACTACCAGGGGAGAACACACCAAAAAACAGAATTAACTGAGTTTCTGAAAAGTATATCTGTAGGTAGTCCCATTTAAAGCATGTGGTAAAAATATTCCTAAAGCATACAGTGAAAATGTGTGTGTATGTTGCAAGAATGTTTGACCTACTTTTTTCTCCAGGCTGACTGGTACAAAAGTTAAGCCACAGTGTGAGATTGACTTGTTCCCATTGCTGTTTTTTTCTACTTTTAATGGCATAATGTCCTAAGATGATCCCTCTCAACTCTGCAGGCCCCACTGTTCCTCCTTAGTGCATAAAGGCAGACATGAAGTAAACCACGCATACACACACACACATTCTCTATCTCTGTCAGGGTAAACTGAGCAAACACACCCTGTTCTTAGCATGCCATTTTGTGTGACTTTACGTGCACGCATGTGTGTGCTGGGCGCAGCTCGCCAAACTGTAAACAAGCAGTATTGTCTAATGTCCATGTGTGACTCAGTGTGCCTTTTGTGGGTTTGTTTGAGTTTGTGTGTGTGTGCATCTGTGTTTTAGTATGAGGGAGAGGGAGCTTGAGAGAGACGGAGACAAAGCAAGCATTTCTCTTTTACCCTGGAGCTTGGCTAGGTCCCAAATGAAGGGCTTTGGATATGATGGAGCTGCTCGCTGCAGCCTTCATCAGTTGCAGTCGCACCAAAACTGGTGGTATACTTCTCACTGGGTGGGTATCAGTGAGTTGTTTAGTTGAAAATATCTAGTGCATATCTGTTCTTCCTGTTTGCCTGATAGCAGCATACATTCAAATAGTATGTTGTAAGAATCTGTTTGAAGAAAAGCTTTGGTTATGTTTTTACTGAAAAGTAAGCATATTTGAAGAGTGTTAGCTTTTTATTTTATTTTTATCCAGTAGTTGTATCAAATGCTCCTTCGGCCCTCTTACCCACTCCATAAACTTTATGGTAGGGTGGATGGCTCTTCATCTCCGGCTCAGGTCTTCTATCAGTATCTCAAATGTTTTTACAACTGTGCTTTTTTAGAGTGAGACCTCTGATGTATCTCTAGGTATCGGTTGGAGCCATGTCTCCAGTATGGGGGGGTACTGCTTTGAGTGCTTTGATGACAATATCCACTACAGTGGGTACTACAGTTGCCTTCACCTACCAGACTCTTTCTAGTTCCTCCCTGATCCCTTGGTACTTTTCCATTTTCTTGTGTTCCTTTTTCCTGATATTTCAGTCATTTGGGATGGGCATATCGATTCCATTGACTGTCCTCTGCAGCTTATCAGTGTTCACAATGTTCAGTTGATTGGTCATTACCCTTCTGCTGTTTGAATCTAAAGGTCTAATGGGATCTTGCTATGCCATTTTTTATCACTTTGGGAAGTGACTCCCATTTTGACCTGGATTATCTAGTTTGTACTTGCACAGATGTTTCTGTACATTATATGTTCCACTTGCTTATGATATTTTGTGCACTCCTTTTCTATCTTACACCCTATGTGAGATACTGGGTTGTTTGTGCACGTGGGATGTTGCCTAGTGTGGTAGATCTGGGCCTCTATTGCTCAGGTACTTAAGGCCTGCTCTTCTGGTTTGGTTTTATCAGCCACTTCAGCCCAAACAATTAATTGGATTAATCATAATCAATCGATTATTGGAATAAACCTCAACTAAAAAGTTTTTAGGTGTCTTTCAAAAAAGACATTTTTATTTAATCTATGAAGATCTGTTTGTTGCCCTCCCTTAGCACCAGCAAAGATACCAGTCAGCTGCACTTGGCAGACTTCTCCAATCTACTGCTGTCCTCCTTTAGCTTCAGGCTGTTGACCTCCACAGCTAGCCCTGGCTATTTACCTCATCTCTCCTTCTCTGGTGCTCTCCCTGCCCGGCAAAATTCTCTGGTCTACCAATTTCCTCCTTTGATCTCCTGCTAATTGCCTTTAGAACTAGCCTTGGCCAGCTGCCGCTTCTCCCCCATCCCTGGGCTCTCTCTGCCCAGTGGACTTCTCCAATATACAGCTGCCTCCTAAAATCTCCCATGGTAGTTCCTTAACTCCAGAGGAGGGCATGGTCGGCCACCTTATCCTGGTTCTGGTACTTTCTCCACCAAGGTTATTGCTTTGATTCGGCATGAATGCACCATATCGCAATAACCCAATAGTGATTTTGGTCTGTTAGAGGAAACTATTGTACTACAACTGAAACAATCTTCCATGGGAAGAATCTGTAAAATCACTGCAACAAGAGCCCATGCCAGGGTTTAAAGTTGGCTCTTCTTGCTAAAAGCAACAGTGCTACCAAAAACCATGCAGCTCCTCAATCCTTCTGCTTTAGGTGGAAGGGTTTAGAGTTCTGCCATATTACTTTAGTTATCAGATGCACTCATAAAAGAGAGCTGTGCTTTTATTTGTAAAGAAATTTTTTTTGTTTGTTTTTTTTTTAAGTTAATTCCCCTTCACAGCTTTTCTCTATATTTTGTGTCACATACTATCCCATTAAAATACATTAACTTTGTGGCTATAACTGTAAAAAATGTAAAATGGTTCAAGAGTACAAATGTTTGTGAAAGTCACTGTAGCTGTGGTGGATTCACTTTATACATGCTTGCAAACACAATCGCAGAACAGTTAAACCCACGTCTAGCCTTTGTCCCGACATATTTTTACACAGTCTGCTGTTATTGGTTGATTTTTAGTCAGGCGTACCTAAAGCAGTAAGTCTGACAGAAGTGTAAAGTCAAGCCGGTGTGTAATGTTTTCACTGTTGATTGAGGTGAACATAACATGCAATGTGGTTTATGTTCAGGCCACACACACTTTCACACACAGTATAAGAGAACATGACCCACTTATCTGAGGACGTGCAACTTTATAGCTTACACAAAACAGGGGATAATAAAAGGCTTTTAGTAAGCCTAGTCCTGGCAATTACAGTTAGTGCGCAGCAAAGTTACTTACAGAAAGATGGAAATGATGGGTTATATGGGGAAGTTTAAACACATCCATGAAAATTAATAAATTCCAGGAGAAATAAGTTTTCCATTTAAATGTATACAAAGCCCTTTAGTATTGAGACTCCTGAACAAAGCCCCCCAAAAAATCCTAAAAATATAAATGTAAATGGTATAAATAGTAAACAATTTTTGTGTTGATTTGGCTAAATGTGTTTTTTTTAGCAGAGGCTATTTGTATGTTAAAGAGTGGAAGAGAAAATGGCCAAAAGCATCATAGATTTCCTAACACACTTAACCCTGGGAGGCTTCCAAAGATTCATCTTTTGTTTCAGTTCAGTCCTACCTGGAGTTTTTGTTGCTGGAGTTTCTGCATTTCCAACCGTCTACTTAGTATGGATGTAGCTTTCAGTGGTTATTTTAGAGATCTATCTTCTAACATGAGGTTTGCTGAATATTCTAACCATTATTACCATCCTCCTCTGTGGTTGCAATAAACTTTGGTCTCCATTCAGTTTTAGTTTCGGCACAGTTTTAGTGGTTAAACCATTACTCTACATATAAAATTATTAATGACTTCAAAGGCAAGGTCTCTCCTCTCTCTGGATTAGAAGAATGGTAAGATAAACCGGCCACTGTCCCATGTCTGATTCATGCAATTCAGGGAAAGGGGAAGTCTGGGATTACAAATAAAATATTGTTAACACTGATTTTCTTAGAGCAAATCATTAATGAAAACTGTTTTCTTATATAAAATATTAAGGTCAATCATTTCAGCCTCATTGCTTTAACCAAACACATTTGTTACTTAACAAGTTTTTTTTTCACCTAATGTGATTTTTTTTTTCTTCAGAGATCTTGCTGGTGCAATAACAAAAATTCTACTTATATGAAGGCTTTTTTAATAAAAAGTCAGGGTTACACTGAGGTTTAAGAAAATTTTTTTACACTACTTTTTTTTGGAATTAAATTCTTTTACCAAAGCTATATTAGATTATCTTTATGGTATTAGTTTTATTTGCACTGAATGAATATGAGGCATTTTATGGTGTCTTGAGTCTTGCATTCCTCACCTGTTTTCCTTTCTTTGAGCCTTTTGTCTTTTGACACAGCCTTGTTACATTGCTCCTCCTCCGCACATTACCCTCTGAATTGCTTCTCACCACACAGACATCACAAGAAGAGTTTTTGTCATCGCTTTGAGTGCATCTATCCAAGTTATCCCACTGTGTGGCCTCGATCCTGCTCATAGCTGTGGATAAAGCTGCAGAAATCCATGAATCAAAGCGTTACCCATTGAGCAGCTCTTCTCTTACCATGTGAATAATGACACAGCTAGCCTTGCAGCTCAGTGGATTTCTTGAGGTCTACTGTGGGGACAGCCTTGTTGCAAATTAAAGACTTGACATAGTGGTAGCCTAACTTTTGCACTTTTTCTCTGTCGTTCTTTCCCAGCTAACCCTTTGGTGGTGTGCGTAGGCGCGCCATGGCCCAGACCCTCCAGATGGCGATCCCGAACTTTGGCAACAACATTTTAGAGTGTCTGAACGAGCAGCGACTCCAGGGCCTTTACTGTGATGTGTCCGTTGTGGTCAAGGGCCATGCCTTCAAGGTACTTATCAGGCTTTATGATACTATTGTGTTTATAACTGGAGGGAAGCTGAAAAGAAGGATACAGTTATAGAGGTTGGGAATGTGTTAGCTCTCTGTCACCTTTTTGAATTGTTTTATACAGGGTGTAATATGTTAGAACTTAGAGACTTAGACTTCCTTTATTGTCATTGCACAAAAAAACACAAGGTGAATCTTGACAATGAAATGTCGATTACTTGGCTACCAGTGTAACAGAGCTAAGACCTTATTCCTGCACAATAAATATGTTTTCTATAACTAAGAGCTAGCTATATACAGGGTATAGAAGTTTATATATACATATATATTGCACTGAATTATTGAAGAGGTAACCTCAATAAATATTGCACTGAGTTATTGCTAAACGAAACATTAAATTGAAGACAAAACTAAAAAGAAGAAACTCTTTATAGTCACAGAAATAACTGGATTTTGACTAAAGTAATAAAAAACGATATAAAAATTAGCAAATGAAAAATCAGACATTGCTTTTCAACTATGCTTGGGGTGCATGATTTTAAGAAATAAATTCATGAAACAGGCCTGGACAAAATTGACTGTACCCACAACTTAATGTTTTTCTGCACAATCGTTTGAGAAAATCACTGCACATGATTATTGGAGTTGTCACTGAGACTTCTGCACCTCTCAGCAGGTATTTTGGCCCACTCCTCTTGAGCAAACTGCTCCAGTGGTCTCAGGTTTGAAAGGTGCCTGTTCCAGATCACATTTTTAGGCTCCTTCTAAGCTGTTCAATTGAATTTAGGTCAGGGCTCATACAATTTATTTTTGTCTGTTTCTCAGAATTCACAAATTTAAATAGTAAATCAAAGAATTTGCAACCAGTGTAAAGTTTGTCAGTTGAGTAAACAATTTTTATTTTTGATCCTTTTAAAGTTGTCCTGTTGTCAGTCAAGCATTACAAATGTTATTTTGTGATTTCACAAGAAATAAGGCTTTCTTTAATATCAAATGGAGTATAGAAAAAATATCTGCTAAGAATGGAATCATTATAGTCCAGAGTCTGTGCTAAAGCTGATCAAACGTTGATCATTCAATTACTTATTTAATTATGGATCAAAGGTGTACAATCATATTTTTTGGTTTTTGGTTAAAAAAATGTAACTAATATGTAATAACTCCATATATATTTTTCTATACATAACTATTAAGACCTGAAAGCCAGCACTCATTTTTGCTTGTTGCACCCTTTTTCTACCTCAGGCTCATCGAGCTGTTCTGGCTGCCAGCAGCTCTTATTTCCGGGACCTTTTCAGCAGCAGCAGCAATGCTGTTGGTGCTAACAGCAACGAGACCAGCCCCATGGTTGTTGAGCTGCCTCCAGCTGTGCAGCCCCAGTGCTTCCAGCAGATTCTGGCTTTCTGCTACACGGGCCGCCTCAGCATGACTGTGGGAGACCAATTTCTTCTTATGTATACTGCAGGCTTCCTTCAGATCCAACAGATCATGGAAAAGGGCACTGAATTCTTCCTCAAGGTAAAGCTATAAATTATAAATTGAGCTTTTGATATAAAAGTTAAAGAAAAACATACTATTATAGTTTCTGTCAGAATCTACTTGCTCATATATGAGGCTTCCTTACGCTAGTAATAATATAACTGACTAACATACTCTTGGAAAGTGGGTCTTCCTGTTTATTTAAGTATTTCACTTTCACTTCAAGCATGATGAAATTGAAAGTGTTTTTAGAGAAGCAGCCGTTACTTTGCTTTGATCTGAAAATAGCTATAAGGCCAGTTTATTTAACTTTAATGTCATTATTTTACAGCAAGATTAATTAAACGAAGGCGACGTTAATTACAGTTACCAATCCCAGAGCCCTAGTGATTTAATCCCAATGTCAGACAATAACATTGGGATAAGTTAAAATACTTGTAAATGTAATCTAAAAACACAAGCTCAGATTGTTTAGGTTTCAGTTACTATATTTTGTTTTTGGACCAAATTAAGCTGGACTCAATAAAAACTTTATTTCAGTGTGACTGGAATACAGCTCAGTAAAGCTGTTTATAAAGGAAATGTTCGAAACAAAATCATATAAATAAATCCATTCACTAGTACACCAGAGCCTGAGAACAGATGGTACCAAAAATGAGATGCTTGGCCTTAATAAATGGCTCCTGCTGCCATAAACAGTAGAAGAAAGTTCATGATTTGAGTTAGGCTGACGCAATTAATCAGATTAATCGTGATTAATTGATTATTGAAATAATGGTTAACTAATCTAGTAATCCATTAATCATTAGCTGTTGTATAGAAGCTCTAAATCAAGCCTTTGGCTGACAGAGCGACCCAATTAGGCCAGCAATTATACCAAAATAAGATTTAAAAAAAACTTTTTCCTCTGTCATTATGCTCTATACACAATTCCACAAGTGGAAAGGTTTTATATACACCATATCTGTATTTATTTTTAGGTATCTTCGCCCAGTTGTGACTCCCAGGGTCTTCATGCAGAGGAAGCTCCTACTTCAGAGCCCCAGAGCCCCGTAACACAGACCAGTAACAGCGCACCGCGTCCCGCCTCCAGTGTGACACCACTTCCTCTCGTTTCACGTCTTAAGACAGAGCAGCCATCCAACCAGACGGAAGCGGCCACTCCTTATTCTGTGGTTTGCACTCCTGTTGCCAAGCGGCTGTGGGAAGGTGGAAGCAGCCGCGATGGCGGCGGGTTAGGGTCTGGTGGAGGTGGAGGAGGTGGAGGAGGAGGAGCCAGAAAAGCGGCCCGTTATTCCCAGGAGGCGGTGCGGGGCAGTGCCATCCAGACCCCTGGATCTCTTGGACTGGCCATAGGCATGAATGCCACAACAACCAGCCTGACGGGCATGGTGCCCACTGGTGGGATCAGTGGAAATGCCGGCAGCACCAATGGGAGTTCTGCAGCAGGGCTTGGAATGTCAGAGGGTGCTAGCCCTGGCACGCTGAGTACCTATGCCAGTGATTCACCCATCAGCTACCATGATGATGAGGAGGAGGAAGAGGGAACAGATGAAAGTGCTGAGGAGCAGTACAGGCAAATCTGCAACATGTATACAATGTACAGCATGCTGAATATGGGAGCAGCAGGTAGTCCATTTTGAATCGAAACTATTGAATCAACATTTCATAGTACACAACATAAGCAGAATATATAATCAGTGTAATGTGGGTTTTACTGTTTCTCCAGCTGCCGGTGAGCGTGTCGAGGCCCTTCCTGACCACACAGAGACTCGCGGTCGGATGCGAGGCCGAGATCTTACTTGTCTTCCCCCAGAACTTATTGCTCAGATTGGCAACCGCTGCCATCCCAAACTGTACGAGGAAGGGGACCCTGCTGAGAAACTAGAGCTAGTCTCAGGTATGCGAATACATTCTTTTATTATAAAATATATTATACAATACTGAAGGATGATTCAGTGAGATTTATTATTCTAAATGTTTTCATGTCAATTCCAAGTAAAAAGAAAGAGGAGATATGCCGCTATGCTTATAATCATGTCAAGGAAAATGTAATCAAATGTCAGACTTAATCTACTTATCTATGACGGCCTTTTATTACTAATGCAGAGCATGATATGCATCTAAACATATCCTGTTTTAGAAAAAACAAATATAATCTTAAATCTGCATAGTTACAGTGCGGCCTAGACAAAAAAAGTGTCAGCCAAATAAGAAATGTCATTTAACGTCTGATGTTGTTTTACTCTGCAAGTTACTAAGATTAAAGAACTGAAGGGAATGCAGCACTCTATTTATTTTACTTTTTTTTTTCAAGTATAGAAATAATGAATTGAATAGGATAGAAATGTCCTCATTGTGACTTTTTTTGCCCGTTATAAAGATCAGAGTCAGCCAAGAGTAGAATAAAGAGTCCTGATCTGATAATTAGTGGCATTTTTAGCAGTTTAAGGCGAGCTTCATAAATAGTGTGGTTGCATAATTGGTTATCATTATGTCATGTGATCGTTGTTATGCCTATTTGTTTTAAATAGAGATTCTCCTCCAGTGTAACTGGATTACAAAACCTGATGCATTCTTCTGATAGTTACATGAACAGTAGCTTCATTTTTATTTTTTTTTTGTTAAAGGTAATTGCCTGGGGCATGCTTTGGTGGCGCAGCGTTTTGGAACACAACCCATGTACTTAGGCTTTAGTCCTCCACGCGGCTGACCGGGGTTCGAATCTGACCTGTGGCCCTTTGCCGTATGTCTCTCTCATACCCCCTTTGGTGTCAGCCTACTTTCGAAAAAGCGAACCACTATTGCCGTAAAACTTAATAACTCAAACAAAAAAAGGTAATCGCCTATCCTGCTCCAACTTAAACATTTTCATCAATTCCTTGGCTAACGCTAGGACATTTCCTTTGCTTTGATATCTGATGAGAATTTGGCTTTCAAAACATTTTAGTTCCAGTTAATCATTTGGAGAAAATGTTTGCATAAAATGCTACTTATCTGCTTTGCAAAGTTGCTATTTTGATTTGTTTGTCATAAACTTCCAGAAAGTGTTTTATCCTCTCTCTCATTAACAGGGCAGCCATCTATATCTAAGCTCATAACAGAAACACGGGGACCTTTATCGTGGTCTCTGTGCATTTAAGCATAATTTTAGCTGGTGGAGAATATTTAAGAAATGAAAACGTGTTTCCTAGACAGGGATGACTTTAGAGCTGGTTGACACTTTTTTTTTATCTCTGTGATTCTTTCTGTATCTCTGCTTCTGTCTCCTTGAACCTCAGTCAGCCTCAGCAGATGGCCGCTCACACAGAGTTTGGTTCTGCTGGAGGTTTCTTCCTGTTAAAAGGGAGTTTTTCCTCTCCACTGTCGCTACAAGGATGCTTGGTGTGAGGGATTGCCTTTGAGTCAATGAGTTGATGCAATCAACTGGTTTTCCTTAGCTAGAAATCTTTGAATCAATCTGCCAGTAAGATCTGTTTAAATTGTAAAGTGCCTATAGATGACATGTGTTGTGAATTGGCGCTATATAAACAAACTGAATTGAATTGAATTATGTGTCTACATTTATTGCTTCCCAAACAACCTACCCTTGAAAAAACACAAACATGTTTGAAAAATTGTGCTTGCAGCATTAAAACTTCTCTTCCATATTTCAACTTGTTAGTTAAAATCTTAAATAAATGTATTCTTTTTTCTAGTTTTTAATGTTGAACACAGCATCGCAGTCTTTTTTTAGAAACCAGACCTGTGATGCAGTAATTTGCAGTAGAGCCAAGTCTTTCACATGCCTTCAGTTTATTACCTGGAAATAAAAGCAGCAAACATTAAGCCTTTCCTGTTTAATCCCTTCTTTTAAACCTTGAACGTCATATTTTATGTGTAAAATGATGCGGTTTCCCTTTAATGCTAAACAGCACCTATTCCTTTTGAGGCAGAGATAGTAAGGCGTTCAATATTATTTTATTAGAGTTAATAAGTGACCATTATATTCATCATTAATCCTGTGTTCTGTATGTCTTGTTTTATTGTTTTATGTTTCTTATCATGTGGATGGTATATTACAGTAGGTAACAATGTTGCCACAAAGACATAAAGTTCCTGCTTCCTGGTTCACATCATAACCGATTCTCTGGGGTTTCTCCAATGAACTCTCACAGTGCAATAACTTGTTTGTCAAGTTACATTTATTACAAAATTATTAATTGATTATCAAAGATGCATTGTTAGTTAATGTTTGATCTTTTTTAAAACCACTTTTATTCTAACATTGTTTGGATTTAATTTTGTATTTCTTTCTTTTTGCAGCTGAGATTACCAAACCAACCTTTCCTTTGCTTATTATTTTACAAATGAATGAAGAAAAAAGATAATTAGGATTTTGGTGCCCTAATTTTCTTAACTCATCATATAAGCCTGCAAGAAGCCATGGCATGTATACATATAGAGGAAGCACACTGCAACAAAATTGAACACTAAATAAGTAATTTTTTCTTAAAATAGTTAGACACTTTACCAATGGAACAAGAAAATTTACATTTAAAATAAGAGAAAACAATTACTTTTTCTTATTTCAAGTGCATACTATCGAATGATCTTATTTTAAGAGTAAATCTACTCATTTTATTGACAAATCATCCTATTTACCTACTCAAATTAAGGATAAATACACTTAATTTAAGATTTTTTTTGTATTATTTCTAGATGTTTTTGCAGTGCACTTCACATGGTTACAAGTAGCTCTGAAGTGTACAGCCGTGTTGCACATGTAGTGCGATTTGTTTGTGTCAAGGACATCCTGTGATAATCACATTAGATGTGGGTGTGGTTGCACCTTACTTTATAGTTTTCTATGTGTGTGGGTATGAAAGGTGAGAAAATGACAAGTACTTAAAGCTCAGCATGCAAGCTACAAAAAAACAAGGGTTCTGCCCTTCCACATACTAAATAAAATGAAAACAGTGAAGTACATTTTAAGATGGCGTAAAAGCAGAAGAGATGCCAACAGCACAGTGTCTTAAAAACAGCTGCAGCCACAGCAATCTGATATGAATCACAGCCGTCACTAAATAAACAGCTCCTCTGTTTCTGTCAGAACGCAGCCAGATAAACATGTCTGCAATAAATGATTAGCGTTGAGATCATGGCTTCATTCGTGTGCAGTTGCTTTGTAACTGTCTGACATATACTTTTGTTTGCAGGAACTTCTGTGTATATTTCGAGAGCCCAGCTAATGAACTGTCATGTGAGCGCGGGGACCAGACACAAGGTGCTGCTTCGGAGGCTGCTGGCTGCCTTCTTCGACAGGTTTGCTGTGGTCTATTTCTGGATGTATTTATGTAAAGGCGGATAAGGTTTTAAAATGGAAATTACTGTATCTTTTAGTTATTTTTGCACTCCGTTTAGAAAATTAGGACAGCTATTTTAGTTTCCTCTCTTCTATCTTTGTTTTAATGTACTAGGAATACTCTGGCCAACAGCTGTGGGACAGGGATCCGCTCGTCCACCAATGACCCGAGCCGCAAGCCCCTGGACAACCGAGTTCTCCATGCGGTTAAATGTGAGCATAGATATGTGTGATTAAACAGCCTGTTGAAGAATGTGTAAATTTTCCGTCAGTCGTCGATATATTGTACTTTTAAGGGGAGCAAACTATCTCTGCTTGGTAAAATAAAACAAAACAAAACAGTCATGGATATCCAGCCTAAAATTGTCTTTTTGTCAAAAACCAGTCAAAACACTGGTTAATTTGTTACGTTTCTGAATCTATTCATGTCCCATCAAAAGACCTTGAAAGCTTGTAACAGCCGTTTAGATAAAAGTCCGAACTTGTGCACACGGATGTACAAGCAGGTCTTGTCCTACATTGTTATAATACTTAGAAATTGATATTTTTTTATATGCATCCATGCATATGGGTGATAACGAGAATATAAGGTCATATTTTTCAAAACGTCACTCAATTAAATGTAAATGTAACTACCCACCTCTGATCACAAAAAATGGCAAATAAAATAAAAAAAGTTTGTGCTTGAAAAAATGTGCTGAAAATAAGGGAAAGGGAAATGAATAATCTGGCTTTGCAATATATGTTTTGCATTTATGAGATACTATTATTCATTGGCCACCTCTGTCTTGAGTTGTTCTGAGAAGATGCTAACATTTTCCAACCCATTGACTAATGAGTGGGATTTCACCTTTAAAAGGATTTTTTCGGTGGGATTTTCCCTGAATCTTTTCCGATTAGGTATTAATGCAAGGCGAGTTCAGCCCTAAAGGAGATCTTTAGACGTACTTTTAGGGTTGGTTTAACTTAGATTGCCATACAATAACAAGCAGCCAAGTGAAAATCTAATAAATGCATTTTTTAAATGGATCAACAAGTCTAAGAAAGCTCGATAAAGTCATTTGATTCCTGATTGTGTCAACTAAAGACATTAGTCATATCTGTATTTACGGGTTCCAGTATAACTCAATGAAGTACAATTAAAGCACTGACTGGAAAAAGTGACTGCTGTTTTAGTCACCATAGTTTAATGGTCTATGGACACAAATAAATAAATGTATTTCAACTATGATAGATTTTAAGTGTGTGCAACTGTACAGCTAAGGAGATAAAAAATTTCTGTTACAGATAGACAAGGATAATCACCTTTCCAATGCTATACATTTTCATAGATTGCATATTTTATAAATCTCTGATCTTATTTTGAAAGCATTGTAGATATATTTTTTCCATAGAGGTGGGAGTTGAATAATGTCTCGAGAGAATTCCAGGCAGTTAACTGAAAGTTTTCAATTTGACTGTTTTCTTTCATCTCTGAAGCTTTGTGGAAAACAGACACCATGCAAACTGTCCCACCTACTTGCACCTTGCATGTTGGCGATGTGCCAAAACCACACTGGTGGAAAAACAAATCTGTCATGCTAGGTTAAAAAGTCAAGTGTCTCCTAGGGGTGTTGATTTTGCGATAATGACACTTTTACAAATGAGTGTCCAGGAGCTTGCTTAAAAGTAAAGATGAATGAAAAAAAAAACCTACAAAATTATATTGTTTTTTTTTTTTTTGCAGTAGCACGATCTAATCAATATTTTAACTTGACTATATCTATTCAGTTGGAATATTCCATGCTAATGGATTTAGTTTTTGTAAAAATTCAAAGATTATAAGCATAAAGAGTGCATGATATTAAACCTATTCTCTTCCTGCACCAAGAAGCCACAGAAGGCAGTTATTTAAGGGATTTTAGATCCTGTGTTGACCCAATGTTCTGGATTAATATCCTTAGAAAAGTCCCAAGGAAAACACATTTTTATTTCTCTGATAGAGACCGCTGGATTTATCTTTAAAATGCCCTGGTATATTTTAAAGGATCTCACATTCTTTGCCTTCCACAAGGTTCCCAATGTATTTAAAAGAGGAAGAGGCCCACAGCATTATAGATTCTCTACCTTAATGAACAGCGGTCATGAAGTTCTTCTTAACGGATTTGTTGCTTGTTTCATGGCAAACCCCCATAATTTTTCTCACAAAATCAATATACCTCTATTAAATGTTGGACCCAGTTTTACATGTTTTCTTTGTGTGTGATAACGCTAACATGAAATATAATTTTAAAGATGTGCCAATAATTAGATGCATGTTGTAAATATTGTGATGATAAAGAGCCTCTGTCTTCATTTTCTCTTCCTAACTGTGTCTTCTCCATCTCAGTTTATTGCCAGAATTTTGCCACCAGTTTCAAAGAGAGCGAGATGAACGCCATCGCAGCGGACATGTGCACCAATGCCCGCCGCGTGGTGCGAAAGAGCTGGATCCCCAAGCTGAAGCTGCTGATGGCCGAAAGTGACGCCTACTCCTCTTTCATCCCAGATGGAGTCAAGACAGAGGACGACACTTTGGGGGCGGATCAGGGCTTTGAGTCTGCCTCCATGGAGGCCGCCGGCAGCGCCGGCATGGAGTCCGGGGGCTCTTCAGGTGAATCCCTGCAAGGCGTGGGTGGGGACGGAGGACCATTGTTCTGAACACTCAGCCCCAGGAAGGTTTTGAGTCTGGTGACACACGTACCAGTATTCCCACCAGTTGCGCTTGCCTCCTCACTCTTTGGCTCTCCCTAAACTCTCTTACATCTCGACTGTCTGTACAACACTGCTTGGGGGGGACAGCTGTCTCCCCGTTATAACCAGGACGTGAAACTCACAACTTTTTTTGCTTTACGACTGTAAAACAGTGTTAGCGGAGTTAAAGGAGAATGCATGAGGGTTTGGCCTCTACCTCCCCTTGTCTCATACGGTGTGTAAGTGCAGCTGCTGGTGCATGTTAAATACATTCCCCGAGGTGCAGGTAGGGGGAGCTACCAGTCTAGCCAGAAGACAGGAACGGTATTTTGACAGGCTGGAAGCAGAGGTGGCAAAAAAAAATGAATGTAAGTGTTGCTGGCATTTTTCTCTATGCAAGTCTGACAACTTGTGTTCCAGCCTTTGGAAAGGAACTAAATTTAACCGTATTGAAATACTTTAACACTACTTACTCCTCTTTACATCTTCCTCTCAGCCCACCTCACCTCACCTCACAAAGGGTTTCACTGTGCTGCATATTGTGGACAAAATTCTCCTTTCATTTTTCTAAAAGTTCTTGCATGTTTCTGTCTGTGTGATGAAAAGTAAAAGGCGGGAGGGTGGGCTTTCTACTAAGATGATTGTAAAAAAAGGACTGAGAGGAAAGAGGTAAATAAAGATGGGTCTATTTTCAGAAGAAAAAACTATATTTATACAGGCGCCCGAGCCTAAATCAGTATGAGCGATGAGTGGGATTGTTTTAAACTCTCCATGTAAGTAAGCTTTTGTTGAAAGAGTTGTTGTCAAATGAGGAAAAGTGCTATTTTTACAGTAGTATAACAAAGGAGTCTTATGATAGCAATATGTGTCATTTATTTTTAGCTTTATTTCCAAAGTGAAAGAGATGTAACGAGCAGTTGAACTGCAAATTTTTTTTTTTTTTTTTTACATATTTCATCTTTTGTTCACCAGCCTAAAAGGACAAAAACTAAACCTTTTAGTTGGATTTTGCTCTGTTAAAACCCTTTCTTAGCTCAGATCTACAGCTTTGATAAAACATTTCCTCACAATTCTGAAGATCACTTGCAGAAATTTAAAGGTATTGACCTGAAAAAAAAAGTGTTAGCTTTGTCTTTGTACAGAAATTACAAAAAAAAAGAGTCACTAGTAATTATCAGACAAAAGAATGTGCCTTTTAACTGAAAGCAGTAAGAAAAAGTGAGCTATTGCTTGAAGTAAACCGATTTTAATGGTACTATCTGTGTGTGCTATGTAGTTCTTTGGTGTGGATTGTGCAGATGTGTGTGTTAGTATCTTATTTGTTGCACCTCAGCGACGTGGGAACTCAGAAAGGCTTTTATTTTGGAGTTTTAGATGACTTTGCACCTTCCATGAGACAGGGAAACAGATTTATTGGTGGTTTCTGCACCTTAATGAGAAGAACCAGTGGTTCATGCACCTTTTTGAGAAATGTGTAGCAATCAACCCCCCATAGAGCTCCTATGTATGAGGAGCTCTTCCCCCCACTCTCCTCTCAAATGCCTGCCTGGGTTTCTTATAGATGACCAAGGAGACTGTTGAGTTAAATCCCAAGTGTTCTTCCATTATGGCACCTGATAAAAAATAGAATCAAATCCGATTATTTGGTTTTATTTTTTGTTTTTCAAACCAGAAAAAGTCTAAGTGCAGCATGTTGAATGCGGGTTGACCTGTCAAACATTGGTCGGTACAGGGGACTGATTTTTTCCTGTTGCAGGTGATCTGACTAAGAATGTGCCGTTAACCTTTGCTTTTCATGTTTTTTAAGCAACTTAAGGGAAATCCATGTTTCCCTTCCAATGCAGTTGTATCTGAAAGTGCTTTTTCTTGCAGAACACATTGCTGGGAGCATTGCAGATGTATAATAACTCAACCTTTTATTGTTTTACGATTTAACTGATGGTTAAACCATTGCAGAGAGTAAAAAAATGCAGTATTCTATAAGGGTGACAACTTCAAAAACCTCACTTTTTTGAATTTGACTGTAAGTGCCACATGTGCACGCCTCCCCCTCGTACCCCCCCACCATCTTTGAAGACTTGTGAGCTTCCTGTCCTTTATGCTTCAAGTCGTTGTTACGCTTCACCTCCACCAGCTTGATCATGTGTTTCTTAGGGAGGCAAAGCAGAGGTTGAAGCTCATCGGCAGGAATTAGAAGTTGCATCTTTCGTTTATTTTTAATACAATGCAGCACTAATGAGCCTTTATAGTGAGCGTTTAGACTGGTTCTTTCTGTAACCATGTAACATAATGATCCAATGAGACACTTGTAATCTTTCTCTGAGTCATAGCAGATTGACTTTTCACCAGTGATTCGTCCATGTTGGTACAACACACCAGTCTAACCCAAATACACAAAAGAAACCCCACAAACATGTCATTGCATCCCACTGGGTCTTTCTAGATTAGACTGCAGATAAACATTGCTTAAGGCTCTTGTTTTAAATGGAAAGAAGTATGATTACATGTCAGCTTTGCTCACAGCCTACTTGCAAAGATTTATCTGCAGAAGTGCTCATTTAAGAACTGAAAGTTTCTTTCTTTTTTTTTTCTTGCACATTTAGGGCAAGCTGTATTTTTTTTTACACATACCAGAACATGTAGACCTACACACTTGAATGAATAATTTGTGGCACAGCATGAGGAGTCGTTTTGTCTCTAAGCAGTACATATATAAATATGATTCTATACATGTATACATACATGCTGTATATTATATATAGACACACACATAGAGATCCGATTGTTTGTTGTGCACTCGCAGCATGAGGTATATATTTACCCAGAAACTAGGTGCGTTCTCTCCTGCTCTTTTCCCTCTGTAACCCTATAGCACTAGTGAACCTCCTGTACTGCTCATCCTCCTTCTTTCTGTGTTCAAAGTGCCAATAACTTTGTGAAAGCCCTGTTAACTGTGACCCAACATTACTGAAGATAATTGCACATTAACAACTGTAAGATAAAGACATGCAAATTATAGAAATAAAAGAAAAACTTGTCATGGATTCAACAAAAACAACATCCTAATAAAAGATTTGTAACAATTTCTTTGTTTGGTGTTTTTTTTTTCTTTGTCTAAATCTTTAACGCCTTTATGTTAATGTCAATCTGATATTGACGTAAATTTATCTCATGCTTAGTGAGTTTGGAATGCAAAAACGCAGTTATTTCCTGGAAGCTGTCATGTGTGAACAGATTGTCATGCTATGTGCAAATGTTCAACACAGCTGTGGCTTTTTTCATTTGGTTTAGAGTTTGGTTTTTGATAAGCTTATTTGCATGCATAGATGGCGGGGCAAAAAAAACTCATCAGGTTGCAGATCAGTAATTTTATATATATATTTATATATGTATATAAATTGAAATATACTCACTGCAGTGTAGAGTTTCTGGGATTTAACATTTACTTTTTTTAAAGGGGTTTAGAACAAATGTTTTTTTTTTTTTTATATATTAACAGAACTTTTGAGGCACAAAATGCTCCTATTTACCACATCTCTTTTGTAATCCTTGGTAAAGATGCCCATAAAATCTTGAATCAGTCTCCCATTTGTTGTAGAATCTCACATTGAAAAATAATGCTCCTTTTAATAGAGTTGCTGATGTCGCAACTACTAATATGTAGTGCCTTACTTACTTAGTCGGGTCCAAAGTCCTCTTAGCAGATGAAAGTAATTCTATTTTATTGATTTAATTTTATAAATGTGGATGAAAAGGTGAGAGACACTCTAAGTTCCACAAAATAAGAGTGCAAAGAATCACTCATTTCTGGTGATATGAGAAGACAAGCTGTTGATTTTTTTTTTTATCAAGTTTAAAGTCAGCCCAACCATCTTTGCTCTGCTGACAAGTTTTATATTAAAGTTGAAATTTCCAGCAGCATTGCCAGAAACCAATACCTGGTTTAATTAGCATATCTCATTTGTAGTAGATGTGTCAATTTTAAACCAGAAAGTAAACTTACGGAAAGTCCAGAGGAAGAGAGGCAACAGAACCAACTGTGCAGAAGAACTGGTTTTGCATTTTAAACAGCCTACTGAGAAGATCAGCAGAGCCACAGGATGATTGCCTTTGAGAAACCACACATTGCTGCAATAATCCATGGGAAAGTATCTAATAAAAGTACTGTGTGCGTTTACTTTAGTGCAGTGCTTCCCAAACCTGTTGGTCTAAAACAAACAAAGAGAATAGAACCAGAATAGAACTACTGGTCCAAATCCAAAATAAAAAAGCTATTTGCCAAATGTATAAAGATAATATGAACAGCATCAATAACCAATGTATTTGGTTATATAATGTTTTAATATCTTAAAACAAATAAATATCTTTTATCACTATTGTTTAAATAGTTCCGTTTATTTGCTATAGCGATGTTTAGACCTCAACTTTAGGGATAAATGTTGAACAGCACAGGAAATGCTATTATCATAATTTTTTACAAACTAAGCTTTTATTTTTCATCAACTGTAATCCATAATCCTCAGGGTTAACACCTTGACAGCCAAAATTATATGCATTTATATATAAAAAAATGTTTTGCCTTCAAGTAGTTGCCAAATTACACTTATAAATGTTCTGTTTATTTCAAAAATAAATAGAAATGTAGGTATATTACAAGTTGTGTCATGTTTAATGGTTAACAGTAACATACGCTGTTAGGGACCAGCTGTAGTGGAAACAAGAGCTTGCCAAAGGTTCCTAGGTCCAAACTGAATGTGTAAAAACTGCCACTTGGGGAATGCACATGCTATCATGGCTGTGTACATAATACATAGGGTTTGTTGCAAATTTGCAACAATGGCCATCAAGGGGTTCATCAAGCTTAAATGTTTGAAACATATGGAGTTTGTTTTGCATTGAATTAAATGAGTGCAATATGATCACTCTGGAGTTTCAGTTAGCCTGCTGAGTCATTAGTGTTTGTTAATAAATCAAGAGCTTGGTGAGGATGTCAGACTGCACTTATGATTACTGAGTATTTGGATTCTATATCAATTCCTATAGGTCTACTACTACTAATATGACTACTACAATTTAGGATACATGTCGTTGGGGACTAGGATGATTTGTTTTCCTAGAATAACCTCAACACTGCTTGGATCATTCTGCTCTCTTTATCTGTAATGGGTCCTAATATTGTGAGTTAAATGTAGAACCAGAGAGGAGAGTGAAATGTGTGAAAATAAATAAAGAAAACAAGAAGCCATATGGAGATTGAACAGGAAATAATGCAACAGACATTTCAAAGCTCACAGCATCATTATCGGGAATAACTGATTTTAAGGCAGATGGATTGGATGGAGTCACTGAAAACCAGCAATGATGGCTCATCAGTTGCTAAATTGATTTGAACTCAATTTAGACTGTTTATTACAAATATAAACTAATTAAGCCTCCCAGCATGAATTGTTTTTATGTTATTCTAATTTATTATCCCATTGCTTTCCGCTCAAATTAAGACACAAATCACTGTCAAAGCAAAGCAGAACAGATTTCTTGGTACGGTAATCTCTGTTGCTGCGCCACCTTGTGTTCAAGATACATGTGGTGATCCTGCAGGGAGAATCTCTGCTTGATAAACTTCATCAGGGCTGGACCAAGGCTTGTGTGGGTCATATAGCAGAATCTGATTTAGGGCCCCTCTTCCTATAAAACCATCCCCACCACTAACAGCATTTTAATACAGCATGGGAGGAGGTGCTAAGTTTGATTTGCCAGGACTGAAAACAATCATGGATTAAAGGGATTATTTATGGAGAAGCGTTTAAAGCAAACTGACTACAAACATAAAAATATTTCAATTGTAGGATAATACTTTAAATATGTTATAAAAAGAATCAAATAAAGATTAATCTTTAAAAATCTAAGTTGAATTTCAAATAAGCGTTTAAACATTTTTAATCTTTTGCTGTATCCATGCTCAAATCACCAAATAGATCTGTGTTTAAACCTTAAAAAAAGAAGAAAGAAAAAAAACATTTCAGCACACAACAACTTTTTATGAGGATTTTGTGCTTCATAGAAATCCATCAACTCTAACCATTTAGCAGCTTTAAACAAAATGGAGGACATTTGAACAATTCTGACCCCATGAGGAGGATAAATAATTTTTTTTATTTTTTTACTTTTACTTATTTATTTTTTATTTCTCTTTTTTTGTAAATATTTTGCATATTCTACATCTATGCCTAAAACATTGATGTAGAAGTAAAGCTAAGAATGATCTATATATATATTTTTTTTTTCTTTAATACAAGAAACTTGTATTTAATTGTCGTCTACCTGAAGAGAGTATAGAACAAACTCAGAGTTGAATTTAATCAAAGTCCAAGAAGGAGACTGTTTAGCAAAAGGCTTTAATTGTTTTCTTAAAAAGATATTAAATTGAAGAAGGGAGGTGAACATCAGTGGGGACTCTTAATCCCTCCAGGTGGGTGTTTATATTTTTTTTCAATGGTTGCAGTTGTATGGGCTATGGGCAATAATTGTTTGAATAAAAAATTGTGTATATGCATGTTTATATGTACATAGAATCATTTATTTTCCCACTTAATGGACTTTTGGAGAAGCAGGGACTTATACATGAATCAGGAAGATTGTTGATGTTAATAACTATAGGAAGGTGAAGACCCCCTCCGGAGATAAGCACTAAATTATACATATAATTATAAGTCATTATTTATGCATACTATTTGTGTGTTTTATTATAAGTTTATATTTTAATGAATTGTCAGAAATAAAATATTTTTTAATTCGAGAAACTTGCCAAGGCTAAGAATGATCGTGATGCAAAAGACACCTCTTTCACTCCTGAGCCCTCCACCTCTTGTTTTTTAAGCTGATGTGTTTTTTTGTTGTTGTTGTTTTTTTGGTGGTTTTTTTTAGCATAAGCTGATAATATTGAAACAAATTTTTTTTTTGTTTTGTTTATTTTTACTCTAAATCTAAAGTGACATTGTTGGACTATTTCTGTTTTTTTGTTTGTTTGTTTGTTTTTTTTTTTTTTTTGCATGATGTTGTTTTTGAAACCTTTGTTGATGTTAGATGTTTGAATGCTGTGATACTCAAAATCGAATGTACTATAATTCTCTGTATTACTTTAAGGAAATGATAAATCTTGAGCGATAATAGTATGAGATTGTGTTGTAAAAATAACTGGTTGTGGCTAGAGAAACTTTGGGTGTGCTAATCAAGCTCAAATAGTAAAAAAAAAGACGTTGTTGATAAAATGTTCTGGTTCCTAAAAGACAAAGGATTGGGTTAGTTTCAGATAAAGTAAATAGTAAAAAAAGAAAAGAATGTTTAAATCTTTTAACCCAAGGGCTTCCTACTGGCAGCAAAATCCACGATTGACACTGTCTTTTTAACATCATACTTAAGACAATAATATTTACCGGTATAATGATTTGTTGTATCTTCTTTTTAAATGCTCAATCAATATCCGGCAGTGTCATTATTATTATTATTATTATTATTATTATTATTATTATTATTATTATTATTATTATTATTATTATTGAATCTAATAAGTAGGTACCGTATATATAGATAAGAAAAGCTTGTCTAAGTCTTGAGATAAAGTGGGGTAATGCTGACATCTAGTGGATAGCTTGGAATCCTACAGGTTGTTTAGACAGCTGCTCTGTTTTAGTCCAGATTTGAAGGAAAACAGATGTACAGGCTTGTCAAATGTCTTATTGTGATATATAACGAATAATAAACAGATGCATTAAAGTATTTGTGTTCACGTTGATGCTGCTATAACAGCAATATCTGTGTTTACAGTTCAAGGATGACTCTTTACTGAATTGACAGAAATAAAATAATGTATTAACTCATTCAAGAAATGTACCAAGGCCTTAAAATTTCATAAAGGCTATAAAATGATCTTTCTTACTCCTGAGCTCTCCACCTTCTGCTTTTCAATCAGATATTTTTCTCCATTTAACATAATTCAATAATATTAAAAAAGATTTTCTTTAAAGTTCTGCTTATTTTTAATCTGTCTGAAGTGACATTGTTGGACTGTTTTT